CCCCAAAACCCCAAAACCCCATTCATAAAGATTATAAATAAATAAGAATGAATCAATAAAATGGTATAATTATTATTCTAATAATTACTTACCCTTAAAACAACTTTTGAAACAGCTTTAATGAAAATCTTCACTCTAATCATTCTTGCTTAGATTGCTATAGTTTTACATGGAGATATCTGCTTTGAAAAGAAACAATTTCCAATGCATTTCTTTCCATAAATAAATGATTAGCAGACTTAAATTACTTAGATTCAAGTATTACAGGATTCTGGAAGTATTTTGTTCGGAGGATACTATGAATACAGAAGTTAAGCATATAAATTCCCATTTCTTGGATACTATTATAGCTCTACAAATCGTAATAGACTCAAATGGTTTTAGATATATTACGCTCTTGACACTAATTCAAATAGTTTAATTGCTGAAGTATATTCGTTTGATGTAAAATAATATAAGATAGCAATAATCTTTACTAACATTAATGATTAAACCAATGTATTTGCTCTATTACACTTAAATGATGGTACTGTAATTTCAGCTCTAACTTTTTAAAACACATATTACGATGTCTTGCTTCAATAAGTAGTAATAGGAGAATAAGACTTCATCTATATGATTCAGTTTGATTAAGCATAAAATAGCATCATTAAACTGGAAAGCGATTTGTCTCGTGTTTTGTGGTCAGTATATATCTAGCTAGCAAATAATTTATAACTTGAACCGAAGTCAATAATATTCCAAGATAGTGAAATAATAATCGCAGGGATATTAGCAGCACCCAACAATAAGGCTTATTCAGCAAATATAAAACTATCAACCTCTGGTGCCATTAGCTCTTAAATTGATTACGAAGTAGGTGGAACTTGGAATGAGAAAAATGGCTTAGAAACTTTCTATTAGTACGCTGACACAAATAATGATCTCCTAATAGGATGCATGCAAAAAACTGAAGTATTTTATTTCGCTGTTAATGCATTTGGCTTTTACATACTTTAACTCTCAACTTTAGGTTTGAAGATCTCCTAATTTGCTAGCAGTGCCACTTCGGCCTTTATTTGCAATGGGATTTTTACTACTTCTACACATATTGAGATTTTTTTTTATTTCATCTAATCTTACTCACTTTTTAGAATTCAGATTCCTATTTAAACATTAAGTGCACCTGCTACTTACATTAATACAGGTTTATAGTTCACCTATCGATCTGGATATCATTTGTATTCAAGAAGAATATTCTAATATTAAACTGGTTTCTTTTTAGGAGGTTAAATAGAAAGTAGTACAAAATTTCATGCAACTCTTATAGCTTATGATTTACCTAATAATGTATGTTTTAATATGCTACAAGTTTCAAGTGATCTTACATTGACACCAGTGATGACTACTATACTTGCAATAGGATCTAATTAAAACTATAATGTTTAGTCATCAGTTTTATCTTCGATATAAGCTGTTCAAATCTAATTATAAGTATCTTAACAAATGATATAAGAGACATCATTTTTCTAAATGCAAAAAGAAATTCCTGATTTAATTAATGATTATCAACTAAGTTATTGTTCAATTCAAGGAGAACTTGAGGTCAGATATGTGCCTGATGTAAACACATTTTAGCAATAATTATCTTGTACTTTTGGTGACTAATGTTCATTCCTGCTTGGTTAGTTTTTTGTATCCAAGCAAGGAGTTTTTCCATATTCAGATTGCTCTGACCGGATTGCACTTGAATTCGTGGTTAATTCAGTATCAAGTTAGCAGGAAATTAGCAGATTTCTATTAACAGGAGTAGCTCCAATCAATCTTATACTGACAAAATAGAACTCATTCGGTATGTTAGTCACGAATTAACTTTACTATCTAAAAGTTGATTCAATTTTAAAAATTGGAAATATCTAGTTGCATGTTAATTCTGATGCGGAATTTTGGTTTATAATGTATCCTAAACTCTCCTGCACAGGGCAAGTAAATTTTCTAAACTAACTATAAATCTGAGATTTAGAATATGTGGTTGGAGAAGATCCCATAACTTTTATTCTTCTCCTGCCAATTTTAAGTGAGCCAACATGCTTATTGCAAACAGAGTATAAATTATCATCATAAAAAAATGATTTCTCAAACTTTATTGAATTTGACCAGCAAAATTTGTGTTTTAAGATCTATAATTCTGCTAATAACTCATAGCTAGAATATAAAACTTACTTGATGCAACTTACTATCAAAGCTTAAGTTAATGCTTATACAACTCAAACTATAATTTTAGCGTAACAAGCAAATTTTAAGATTAGATTGAAGAGAAATATTTAGCTATAATAGGCTCCAAAATTTGAAAAAAATCTTGAGAGTAATCAGATATTTACAGGTTAAAAATATATTTACCAATTACCAAGAGTTATTTATGAGCAAGATGAATAGTATTTGATAGCTTATGAATCTTTAATTTAAGCAGAAAATTTCACTTAATTTGACCTTGGGAAGTTTGAATTTTATCCCTTGCTAGATAGCGACGCTGGAATCTATCTATATCAAGTAATGGTATTTCTTATTGATGATCCTGATTTCAGCAGCACTTTTACATTTAATTTAGAGGTTAAAGCAAGAAATATTAATGGAATCAATTAGCTATTATATAGCATCTAAGATTACTAGAAAATAACAGAATCACCTGAGAATCTCAAAGCAAAGATAAAAATGATTGATCAATTAGGGAGCATTCAAATAAAATTCGAGAAGTAAATATTAAAATACGAGAATATTAGTCTTTTTATCTAAGATTATTTGCATATCAATTTGATTAGTCAAATTTCACAGAAAGCGATTAAATTAGACTATAATATGATTAGTTTCTTTGCTGATGAACTCCACCTTTAGTTGCTATTTACGAATATTGATAGAGAAACTATTTCAAAATCAAATGTAATTCAATATATTGTTAAATTAAACTTAGATTGATTAACTTCAGATAGTGTTTGATAATAATTTTGCTTTTGTTTCACCAGATTTTTCTTCTAAACTACCAAAAAATTACAGAATTTAAAAGGCAATACCTCCATAGATTAATTTATAAACCTAGTAATTTTTCCAATAAATATCTACTACTATTATCATCACTCTCTCATCACTAATAGGCTCAAACATGCTTTTGAATTTACTAATGTAATTAAACTACAATTTATATAAAATGTCCATATAGTGGGTAAGGAGCATAGTAGCTATGGGGGATGGTTGAAGGATTTTAATTGATAACTCATTTAACATTAATGAACATTTAAGTACCATCTAATACCTTATCATTTTTTGGACTGATTAATGATATATCAAGCTTTAATTTAATACCTGTTGATGATATTAACAATCTGATATTTGGTGAAAATGATTTTGATTCAGGTCTCAATAGCTAATTTGAATTTATGAATTATTCTTCTTATAGTCTCTATAATAATATGGGGCTGCTTTATTACATAATGATCCTCAACATATTTGTATTTGGAGTCGGCATCATTATTAAAATATTTAAGCTAGATTAAAAAAGGTAAATAAAAATATTTACTCATATTATTATAGGAAAATTCTGAGCAAAATAAAGAGCATCTTGCTTTATAACTAGATTCTAAGATTTATTAGTGAATCTTCTTTAGAAATATCTCTCTGTTGTCTTATTAATTTCCTTCAGGTATATAATAAGCATTTAAATATTTTTAGGAATACAGAAGCTCATAAGAACTATCAATGATTATTTTATCTGCTATTCTTTTGAAAACAATACTCTTGATTTCATTAAGATCTATTCACATTATTAAATAACTTCAAAATGATGAACAAGTGGTATAGTTCGATTATTTTAGTTAATATGAAGTTTATTTTGAAGGGCTAAATATGAAATCTAAGCACATTTAATACTTTTTTCTAGTACAGTACATTAGAAAATTGATATATTGCGTTATATTGATATTTCTTGATTATTTTTAGTAGTTATAAGTAATTTTACAAATAAATCTTAGTTTGATAATGATTATCTATTACATTCATTCTTAGCCTTATTTTGAAGTGAAAAAGAATACTTTGGCTGTTATCAATGAATTTCTATTTCTTGCTATCTGTTATAGCTTTTTACCATTTATTGAACACTATAATATATAAGAATAAACAAGAATTAATATTGGATTTATCCCTATTTACCTGACTATTTTTCATCTGCTTTTGAATTTTGTAATTGTCATAATTTAAATGATAATTAACGTAAGCAAAAAGATAAAGCAAATTATATCTAATTATAAGAAAACCTAAAAAGCTAGATTATACGATTTCTAAAATTAAGACAGCTAATTTTCAATTACAACAGAAAATACCACTAACAATAATATTGTATTTAATGATTCAAATATTTTGGCTAATGGTCTAATTAATCAAATTACTACCAATACTGGTTTAACATTACGAAGCTCAAAAAAATTGAAATAAGAAAAAAAATAATATGATACAAATCGAGCAAGAAACTAGCTCATTGAATTGGATAATTATTACAATAATAATCAAAATAAACTTTAAATCAGTTGATTAAAGAGAATTAGTAATTGATTAAATGATTAAATAAGATTAAAATTTTATTTACAATTAGACTTGTTTTGATTTGTTTTAATTATCTTAAAAGTTGCAATATATTTATTCACGGGGTTTTGGGGTTTTGGGGTTTTGGGG